GATTTTTAAACCCATTTGTTTTTAAAAAATATATAATAAATATAGATGATAAAACAAAAAAAATTTTGACTCACGACAACGTGTGAATATATTTCTATTTTACATGAAAGAAATTATATATGATATTTCCACCCAAAATAAAAGGAAAGTGATACTATGTAATATAACTCATATTTTCTTTTATTTGTTAACCAACCAAAAAGCCCATTTGATAACATTAAAAAATTAGATAATAGGAATTCAAGACTTAGGCTAATTGGTTCATACATTAATTTTTAGGTGTTGGAATCCAGCAGCAAGTTTGATATTTAAATTTTAATACTTATAATATTTTTATGTAAAAAATTAAATAAAAATAATTTTTATAAAAAAAATTATAGTTTGAAAATAAAAAATAATAACGATTATTTTAGATCTATATAATTTCATGTAAACTTCATGAAATTAAAAATTAGTTAAATTCATTTTCATGAGCAAATTGTGCAATTGAGTTGTAGTCTTCATTCATCTAATAAAATTTTCTCCTCAACTTTTTTGACCTGGTGATTTGGGAGCCCTCAAGAACATAGACGTCTTGAGTTCGTCCCAAGACTTTCTCTCCTCTTCTCATAAACTATATGCTCATCTTATGAAAAAAAAAAACACTTTGGTTAGTCAAATTTAAAAAATAAATACCCTTTTTAATTAAAGTACGACATTCGAGTTGTTTACATTTATATGAATAATATAAAATTTATAAATAAAATATATAATATTAAAAAATAAAATTGAATAATATATAATTTATAAATAAAATATATAATATTAAAAAATAAAATTAACTCATACAAATAAATTAAAAATAAAAATCATAATTAATATATTTAATAAATTAATTTAATTAGATATTATATAAATGATATATAATTATAAATAAAATATATAATATTAACAAATATATTATTTATAATCGAAGAATTTGGATAGGGAATATCTTAAAGTCTTTACTCGAATTCTATCCAAACCCATAATAAATAATAATTTTATTATCCGAATTAATTATAAAATATTCTATTTCTATTTAATTAGATCAGATAATTTGGGTATCTATTGTCATACCAAACGAGCCCTAGTTATAGCTAGTACTTCTTTTGGTACCGCCCTAGCTACTCTAGGCAACATGACATTCATCGCACATGTTTGAACGGCTCAAAAACTGATGAGCTAATGTATATTTATTAAAATCTGACTTACCGTCGAAACGTCAATTTTCCCACGATAAACAGATGAAAAATGCTGAAATAGTTCGATTTTGTCTGTTTCTTGGATTATGCCACGACCCATGTGAGCCAAAGATACCGAACCGTGACTGAAGCAGAAGGTGTGACCGCGTCTAATCAATTTATTAACCTCAACGGTCCATAAAGATGGATTCTAGTCCACCAGGCAAACCAACAAAGCAAATTGCACCATGCAATGCACCAAGAGCGGTTTTGAGTGTTCTATTAGTCAATATCCATTAAAGATGCAGCCTCGTCTAGTGGGGACCTCTTAGTTGACTCCTCTGAGCTCATTCAAGTGCAACCTCAAAGGTTCATGGAATCTTGGCCACACTAGCAACGTTCAGGGGCCAGGGGCCAGCCACAGCCAGGCAGCCCCTGTTTGCTTTTGACCCTTTTGGGATTAGCCTCCGGTTGTTTTTGCTCCATTGTAATTGCCGAATTTTATTTGCTTCCGTCTACACTATAATTGGTGGGTTTTTAATTTTTCTCTCTTGAGTTAATCTTTTGGGTAGATTGTGAAAATGGGACCCAGATTGATCTTAATCTTGTTCCTAGCAGCATTTGGACCTACGTAAGTGAATTTGATCCACCAATCATGGGGATTCTCCTATAAGATTTTTTTTTCCTTTTTAATTGTTAGAAATCGAATTGGCTTTAAAGTATTGCAACCCTTCGGGGGCTTAGATTTCCTTTGGCAAACTCTTTCATCGTTTTGTGATATTGTTTTATGATTAGAATATTACTTTGAAAAGGACTATTATACTTAAATCAAGCAAATATGGGAGAAAAAATTGTTCACACAAACGAAAGAACAAGTCAAGTTCACAATTCCACACGTTTAAAGAGATTGTAAAAAAACTACTCCACATAGAATTAGGCTTCGGTCAAACTCAAATTGATCAGCTGCTGAACTTGGAAGAAAAATTTTGGTTCATTGAAAGTGTACTCTTTAGTGACATTAATTTAGCAATGATATTAACTACCATTCAAGTTTACGTTTACTTCATACCTTTCTTCGAAGAGATAACTAAAGTTAGTCGGCGTTGAAAGTCCAATGGTATGAATCCTCACTTTATCAAAGCTACTATTTTAGGATCATCGAAAACACACCTTTTTCTTTTCCATCCTGTTATTCTCAGAGAATCAACATCACCTTTTTTTCTTTGTTCTCAAATAGATATATTCTGACCAAGTACATGCATTTTCCAATATTACTTTAAATTTGTTTTGATAGTAAATCATATTTTGATATATGCAAAATTGTATTTCAGCTCAAGTCAATGTCATTACTTAAATTGTATATATCTAAGACTTACTAATTCTACTCTTGTAGTAAATACTCTTTGCCAATAATTTTCTTAGTCTAATGAAGTTATGTCACTAATTCTTTTACTGTTAATTAAGTATTAGCTCAAATGATATGTATACGATTAGATTTTTATAAGTTTAAGGGTTCAAAATGACTTAAGTATTTAATATCCTTTTCAAATGAATTAAGTAGACAGAATTGCGGAGTTAAGTGTATGTTTGAGCAGGTTTAGCTTAATAGTAACTATGCATGTATTTCTTCATTTAAAAAGTCGGCTCTGACTAATATTTCTTTTTCTTTAACTGTACCTAATAAATTTAAAAGAAAATTAAATTTTAGTAACATTCGAATCAAATATTTGAGTCTTAAGTTTAAATTAAATTATTATATTGTGAAAGTCAAATGTTAAAGATTAGTGGATGTGTGCAGTGCCTGCACAAATACAATAAACCTAACAGGTCTAATAATCTTTACCTCAGCAATTACCTTATAGTGACAATCGCAAGGGACAACAAATTTAGTTGCAATTTGTTAGGTACAAAGAGAAAGTTGTCAAGTTGATACCAACCCACCCACCAGGAGGGGCTGCTCTTTTGATTGACGACGATGTTAGTTGGATCAGCTAATTGTCAAAATGAAGAAAGATTCAAGACAGGACTATTTGACAATTTTGATTGAAATTTGAAAGACGGTACACCAACGGGAATGCAACTCTCCAACTTTGAATCACTTGACCAATTTGATCTTGAAGCAGCTCTAATCATTAAGCCTAGATTTAAACTCAGAGTCTCTTGATTGTATTGTAGATTTCTATTGAGTTTGCAACAGGATTCTTACACTGTTCTTCCACTAAGCGCAAATCTAGCCTGATGACTTTGCCAAGGAAAAAGTGCAATATAAATAAGTGTATTTGCCCAACTTTGCCATCCGAAGTTAAATTTTAGGTACTGACAAGTGCAATGTTTTATTGATGGGTAGACTAAGATTTCTTCATATCTTCAAACAGTTGACACACTAGTCTAATTATGTCAGATGGATTAGGAATTTTACAACCGGGATTTCTGACAGATTTCATATCTCAATTATGTTACATGGTTCCTACTGCTCAAATTGTATTAAGCCATGGTTGCTCCAACTCCTGTGATTGCTGCATAAATTGTGCCGCAGTTTCAATTAGCAATCTCCAGTGACTATGATTCGTGTCGACGATATGCCAAAATCAATCAAAGTAAAGCCTACTAATTTGATATTTTTGAGCTAAAAGGCTTCAACATAGAAATGAGGTGAAAGGGGAAAAGATCAAAGTTCGCCAAAGGACTACATCAATTCCAATATATCAGGCTGTAGATTTTTTTTTTCTTTTGAGGAATACTACCTAACTTACACAAGTTCAGTCTTCTTAAAACCGTTGACAACTTCGTTATGAATTGATTTCTTGAAGGAAATTGGTAAACTAAAAGCCGTGTATAAGTTTCATGCCAAAGTTGGAGTTCGTATTTTTCATAAACAAGAAGTGGAATTGTTAATGAGAGTGGCATTAAGTCATTGAATGCGTGAGAAGAACAATAATCTCCAACAGCAAACTACAAAGGGAACAGGAAATCCATTGATGTTAGAAACAATAATATCCAATAGCTCTACAATGCATGGTGATATCCTCCTCGTGTTGCAACATTGTCTTCACATTCTAAAACATCAGTAGCGAGTTTCTGAAAACTTTGTACTTAGGGTTGAAATGCTTACACTGGTTTAAGATATCATCTGGATCAGGCCCAATATTGCCCTGCCTAAAATCTAAACCACAGAACCTACCAATATCTATCCCACTCCACGATTGGGCTAGGCTCATTCTTATGATTTTAAGTTGAAATTCTAGTATCTCATTTTTTTTTTTTTTTGAAGAATAAGACTATTAAATGTCTATAACCAGTCATGACTTGAAAGCCATAAAATTTTGCATGAGGTGGATGACAATCGCCCAAGAAAATCATCGGTGGATAAGAATTTCAGTACATCAGTTGAGTTAGAAAATCACCACTGATGATGAAATAAGGTGCTCATTTCTTCCTTCTCCAGCAAAATTTAAACACCTATCCCTAGTCACAACCAACTCATGATCCATCCATGCCCACGGTTGCCATTTAAATTTAATCTCATTAATGATGGTAAAGTAAGTTGCTGGAAAGTAGATGGGACAGCATTGGCTAGTTATTATGCTATGAAATTGAAAAATGGGAAAGTGCTTGATATTTTCCCTTTATGACATGAAATGTTTGTTGTACTCAATAATTATCTCGAGGCTACCAAAACTAATTAATCACCTAAGTAAAACATAAACAGCAAGTTAATTTGCTTAGCAGACATGAGGCAACAAACAACTCAAACAACGGGAATGGTGATGTCTAAGAAAACTGAAGTACGTAGCCTTTTTTATTCCCATGCTGGGATCTCCTTAATACCAAAAACAATTCCTAAATCTTATGATCACAACTTAAATCTTTTGTAACCTATATCCCAACCAACCACGTAACCAAAAAACCAAGGCAGAGCTTTTAATTGATATTATTAGCCTACATAATGATGTAACACATCTTCATAACTAGTTATAACAAATCAATCTAAGTTATCAAGCTGTTAATCTACATAAATCATAACCAAAAGCTCAAAAATTAGTCTGTAATTCCATCACCCAAGTCTTCTACAATGATTTCAGCTCAATTAAAGTCCCTTAACAAAAAAGCAAAGCCAAGTTTGCATGAGTTGACACCGACAAAGATCTAGTAGGGTTCAAGTCTTCAAGCATTTACATGAAAGTTTATGAGATCAAAGACTGACGAAGTGATAGTTGATAGCTTCATAAATTATACTAATACAACAAAGCGACTGAATTGAAAATACAACAAACAAAAAAATCACAATTAGAGTAATTACCATAAACATAGAATAGTGTAACCTCATTACACATAATAAGTTATATAATCACGTTGCTAATCCACATAGAAAGGTAGTAGCGCAACCATTAAAAAAAAAACACCCAAATTTCTAAAACTACTGATATTTTAGCTATATAACACTCAAATCTTCCACATTCTCACAAAATAAATAGTACCCATTTCCAATTAAAAGAACCCAAATTTTCAAAGCCTAAAATGATAACCTCATCTCCTGCACCGAGTGATCCTGGAACAACCCCTAGTGTAAGGATGAACAGGGCCATGAGCATTGAAACAGTTGTGAGTATAATAAGACCTGCCTGACCTTGGTGGACATGGGATTCTGTTAGCAGAAAGTGCCCCGTACGAAATGTAATACTTCATTCTCCTCCAAAACAAGGATCTGCGACTATACCCACTTTCCTCTTCATCATCTATCTCCTCGTCACCTTCCTCATTGTCGTTTAAGTCACTGTAAAGAGACATTGAAAGTGGCCATTCTAAAGCATCTCTCATCAGCTTCAAGCCTGTCTCTTCAACTTGAGCTTCAACTTTTGAGCTTGAAAGGACAATATAAGCGATGAAAAGGGCAGAAAGAAGCTTGCAGAAAAGTGAAGAAGAGGAGGAAGCCATGGTCAGTAACAAGTTGCAAAGCTTGGAAGCCTGTTGAAGAAGAAAAACGAGTTTGAAGTGGCGTAATGAAAGTAGTTTTGGGTTTCGTTAAGGGGACAGTGGGGTCACGTGGAGCAGAGAGGTGTTTGGTTTACAGCTGTGCTTCATCAATGCGCCGATTAACGCATGCCTCGGTTCTTGGACCCATCGAAGGGCAATTGTCATCTGCTGCGTGTTGCAAGTTCATGGTTTTGGGTTGGTTTTATCTGTTAGTGATTTCGTGGGTCCATCATACGTGGTTCAATCAAGTTCGTTGAAGTATGATGGGTTTAGTATTTTGGAAAGTGCCATGGTGGCAAATTATGGGAGACGTGGTGCATATGCGACGGATGGGATGCTGGGGAAGGACGCGGCTTGCTGCTGGCCGGACGTGGAAGTATTAGATTGGGCCGCTTGATTTGAAGTTAATAATGTTGCAATTTAGAGCGGTTTTTGTCCCTTTTCGGAGACAGCTTAAGAGCTGTTTGTTTTTTAGCAAGACGATGATTTATATGAATCTCTTATAGTACGTTTTATAATTTTTTTTAAAATTTTAATGGTGAATTTTCTTTTTATATTTGATTTAGAATTATTCGATTTTGAAAGAATATATCAAAATTTTAATAATAATCAAACTCTTAAAATTAAAAATCTACATTTTTTTATGATATTTTAATATTCTGAAAAAAAAATTGATTTTTAAATTTGACTTAAATAAAAAATTTATTTCATATATTTAAGTTTTTTAAAAATAAGTTTGAAATTTAATTTTAATTTTATTTTAATTCAATTGCAATGTTTTTTTTTTTTTTTTAACAAAACACTGTAATTGATATAAATCTGGAGTTTTCCATTATATCCTGTTAAGTTCCTATTATGATGGTTTTGTAATACATATATCTTATTTGGTAACTTTAACATTTGTGATGTGAGTGGCTATTACGACATTTCATTTAAGAAACACTTTAATTGAGTATCAATTATAACAATTTTCCCTCAAAATGTCAAAATTATCACATATTAAAAATTTATTTTTTCTCTCGAAGATTGTATTCTGACATTATAAATGTTATAATTTTTAATCAAATTCATAATAACATATTTTTAATACATCAATTACGGTGTTTTTATATATAAAACACCGTAATTGATGGTACATACGCCTTATTTGATTATGATATGATGTGAGTGGCTCATAAGTCAAGAATAGTGATAAAAGAATACTACTTTTTAATGAAATAATACAATTCGATGATTTATCGATTGATGAAATGCTTGCTGTTGGTGAGTATATGTTGAAAGAAAATCATAAAGTTAAGTTTTTCTTTGCTTTGCCACCTGTATTTAAAAATGACTATATTAGAAAACAGTTAAATGAATGTAATGCTCATCGCCTATCTTTTGACTTCCCTCATCCTAGACACATATAGAACATAATACATTTTGTATAAAGATGCATATATTATGTATTCTTTATTTTCATTTAATTATGGTCGGAATAGTTTTTTTATTGCAAATAGATTGGCAGGTAATGAATTCATTTCTTTATATTGAAATCTAATATTTATTCTTGTATATAGGATTAATTTCATATTTGTATTATTAGAACAAAAATCATACTTGTGTGAATGATATAAAAAATTATGATGACTAATTTCATATTTACATTAAGATAAATGTTTTGTGAAATGTATGTGTCATGAATTGATTTGAATTTCAATTCATCATTAGGATGAACCATTTGGCCCAAAGTGATCACATTCCACTTGTAAAATGTGAATGAAATAAGAAATTGATCATTATAGTATTTAAATTAAATTACTGGGGATTGGTATTAATTTAAACAAAAATAAACTTATAAAAATTAATTACTACACAATCATAGTGCCTATAAAAAAAATTGGAACTTTTGTATAAATTTATATCCAAATTGATTGTCCTCAATCCTCAATGTGCAAAGGTGGATATATGATCATACCATTTTTTATGAACTTCAATTTATTTTTGCATGAAGCTTTCCTTTTGCGCTTACTATAAACAAAAAATAAGAAGTAAATATTAATCAACTTGCATAATCATATATAAGTTTAATTCAAAAATATTACTTATTATATGGTATTTATACTAACCTTGAATGGTATTCCCATAAGCTTATACATAACAATCTTCTTTATAAAACAACGAACATAATATCTACATTCGATAACTCCTGGTTGATGAGGAACCTAAAAACGAAATTGAGTCGGTTGCTAAATATTTTTCTAAACAAACTTAGCATAAAAGAATATATTTTACATTTATCAATAATGTCACCCATTTGAACTTTTTATTTTATGAACTAAAGTCATTCCCCTAAATTGAACTTAAAAACCATCGTAAACATAAATACTAGTAATTATACAAAAACACATTTTAATTAAATTATCACTTATACGTAAAATATAATACCTCTTTATTAAATTGACAACATAGGGTTTATGCATCAATCCTACTTATTCGAAGTTTAATAAGTAAGGAATCCACATATTAATCTCAATTACAACAAGCTACCAATGACCCCAAGAAAATAATATGCATGATAATATTAAATATATTAGATGAAAAAACATAAATTCGGTATACACTTATACAGAATGTATTAGATATAATAAATTATCCAATTATTACTACAAATAGAACTTACTTGGAATTATAAGGCATCAGATAATATTTGGATGGTTTTTGTAATGATTGACCCACATAATAAGCATGAGTAGTGAGAGACCCAGAGTCATGACTGATAGAATTTGGGTAAAAAAATTTGTATCTATCAGTCAATTGTCTCTCATTCACCTTTTGTATAGGAAGCTACATGATGAAAATTAACAGTTTCATTCAGTAATGCTATATAATATAAGAAAATAAATTGATAGAATATATTTAAATTAAATGATAAGCTTACCTTATATAAGCAACAATTTTGGAAGTCAATATCTCATCATTTGTACAAAATACGTGAATATCTAATTGCTCTATCTATGAAGTTGAAAGATAATCAAATAATCCATGCTTGACCTCTATGACAATGCAATATCCTTTTAACAAATGCTCATGCGAATAAGTGGTTAATGCATTCATGGCATATTACGCATGTGTCATTATTTAAGGCTAAACATCTTGTTACAAATGAGTATAAAATATTTTTCATTCAAACAATATCAAATAACATAAATAAAATTAAAAATTAACTCAAGAAAAAAAATAATGATGATTACTAGATAATGGGCTTGTTGTAAGACTTGATTTGCGAATTCATTTTCAAGCTGGATGTTGATAACAAACTGACACCTGATAATGTTAAGTTGCATTGCTGCCAATATTATCTCCAATGCTGTGAGTCATTGTTGTTACTCATTATGGTGTTGCTTTTGTTCATCGAGTATTTGTTGTTACTGCTCAATTAGTGCTTCATATTCAACATTGAGGTTTCGATTGATTCTTGAAGAACTATGATGACGAGACAAATCTCCTAACCCTTCGAACTCAATCATGTCTCTCTTTTGATCCTAAAGCTAAGAACAAATAATCTTCGTCATAACCGGTTCGTAGGTCATCGAATTCATATTTTGTAGTAAATTCATCCTAAAACATAATATGATATTGAGTAACTAACTAAATACAATATTTATTCATGCATAAAAGCACATTCAACATACGTGATATAAAAACGAAATTAACTTACAATCTTTTTAGTCATTTGTTAAGTTGTTTCATTCCCATACGATCCATCTTTGTGCATATGTCTTTTTTTTCAAATATCTTATTTTAGTATTTCGGTTTTCGAGTTAGATGTTTCCTAAAATCATTAATTAATATAAGTTTTACATTTTCATTTAATAAAATTTATAATATTCATCTATAAGTATAATAAAAGCATTTGAATACGTACAAGATCATTTTTAACATTTGCATAACCCTTTTTTGATGGTGATTCACTTGTTAGGCCCGTGTGTTCTTTTGTTATTTTTTAATTTTTTGAAAAAATAAAATCAATTACATATTAGCATGCAATTAGAATAAACAATATAGTTTAAAACTTAAGAAGCTGGGTATGCATATAGAAAATTCATCTTATAGATAATCTCAAAAAAATTGTAACTGTTTTGCATCACTGTCATCTGTATATGTCATTGGAAGAGTAAACAACAATTCAGAATTATCAGTGAACAGTAAAATATATTTGATTGTCAATCTGCTCTTAAAATCTTTTATTGTCAATCTGCTTTAATCTATGAGATTTAATCTCATATACTATCCTTCTTATCATCTGGAACCATCCTCTAATTACGATAGTTAATGGATATATACTACTGGACAATAGCTCCAATGTGACTAGCCAACTTTGCATTTCCATTTAACATAAGCTGTCCATTGTGATTGAACTCCATATGAATTTTTGTCTCACTCATTTTAAGTGATTTACCACGTCCGTTAGATTTTCTCTTTTTCGAGGTAGTAGAGGGAGACATGTTTTTTTTGGAGCCATGCTATCTATGATTTTGATCAAAATTATATAAAATTTAAGAAACAAACTAATATGCAATACACCAAAGAATTCTCTCTACATATCCACATAGTAAATACACCAATATCCAACATAATAATACATAATAAATACACCAATATGCAATATATAGAACAAAACCAATAATAAAATACATGAAACAAGTCATACTGTGTTTCATCGTATCATAAGAGTCTATGCAATACAAATGAGAATCAAAGTAAGACCATTACAGTAGAAAGGCATCTTTTTAACCAAACTTTTTGTCTACAAATCCATGGCAATAAAGGTGGAATTGAAAATCATATTCATTAAAGACATATTTTCCATAAAACTAATTAGCAAACCACAAAACTCTAACCATACAAAAAAAAAAAATCATGCATGCAGTGCAGGGGGTATGCGACAGTGGCAACTTGGGTAGAGGCATATATATAAATGTATAAATATAAATTAAGGAAAAAATTCACATCGATACACAGATAAGCAAGAAAAAATAAAAAAATTTACATTTACTAGAGTTAGACAATGTGCAATGGTCGTAATGGTTACACAGTCAGAAGCGACGAGTGAGATGAAAAAACAAAAATGAAAAGTGAATGGGTTTATGGTTTTAAAAATACACGAATTGTTCCTTTCTTGTTGAAAGGTTTTAGCTGTTTGGTTTCTCAAGTTTCAAGAATGGAAAATGAATGTGTATTTGATTTTAAAAATACTCAATTATAGTGTTTATGTAAACGAAATGCTATAATTAAGTAATTAAATTTTTTTTTTTTATGTTGGTTCAAATATGACGTTTCTACTAATAAATGCTTTAATTGAGGAGTTTTGGGAAGTAATTAAAGCATTTATATTAAACAAATGCCATAATTGTAGGGTTTTTTCAATTATAAAACTTGTCAATT